GGCAGTGCTGACTGTCAAACACAAACGTCACATTTTCATAGTCAATTGTCATGCGATTCTGACGGGCGGCCGCCGGCATACCCGTCACATGACACAATTTGAGTATCAAAAATTGAGTATTGCCAATAGATTTGTTTGTCACTTAGAGAAAAATTAACAAATCTTAAACCGGGTGACTGTAAATGATTGTGATTTTTTACCTCAAGTTTTGATGTTAAATTAAAAATTTTAGTTTGATTATTTTGACTTTCAAAGTCGAACTTTTATAGACAATTGTCATTTATCTGCGACTTGAAACATCCTAAAATAACAAATTGATTGACTTTGAGAGTGTAAACCAGACTTTAATTTTAGTTCGAAAAAAAAATATTAATGTGAACGTTCTTTAGATCCTGAAACCATAAAAAATGACATTTGTGTTGAATTCTGTCTGAAAAAATAACAACCTATTTGTCCAAAATAAATGTGAAAATAGGAGAGATCAAGCACAAAAACCACGTAATCCCAGTGGGTGCAATAGTACAAAAATGAACAATCTAGAACTCTCAAAGTACAAATGTTGCCACCTTAAATTTGAATTTCCATGACCTACCGAGATATCATTCATTTTGAAACGCTCTATAATGATTCAGTGTTGCCACTAGATTTTTTCACATTTCTTTAAGAAATTTTTAAATGTTATTTTGCAAGTTTAATCCAAAACATCTGACATTTTTTTAGTCTCCCCAACTGTCTTTTAACCTAACCAAATTTTAAATTCTAGGCAGTAATTTTTTGTTGCCAACTTAATTTGAAAGTCACAGACTACTTTGATCAAATCAAACAAATGACATTATTTGTGACGATAAGAATTTTGTGTTCATTTTTAGTAATTAAAAGAAAAAACACTGTTTTTAGTTGCATCAAATTTAAGTTTTTTTCAAATTACGCAATTAAGTATTTTTTTGTCTTGTCTAAAATTCCTACAAACCCTTTGTTAACAATTTCGCAAGCATTTAAAATATTTGCACGCACACAGCAAGTCATTAAGCGCGCTTGAATTTCATTCCAACCGTTTTCAAATTATTATTTAAAATCCCTCTATTTGTTAAAATTCCAGTCAAATTTTGTTAACTTTATCGTTTGTAAACATTTAAAGTTGAAACCGCGCCACCACCGTCGAAATAAAAAAAAACCCTATATTCACCCCCCCTCTTCGAAGAGGTGGAGCAATCGAGGGTGTCCGATGTTGGTATTAGTCAGTGGCCCGAAATGGGTGGAGCTTTGTCGTCTTTGTTTGCAATGTAAATAATATTTTGCACAATGTATACACCTTTATAGACATTAGACTGTGATTTTTGGAACAACATCACATTCGGATACGGTCACAGTCTGAGGATTTGTTGCGGATCTCGTATGCATAACTATGGTTTGACGTTAGAATGTGAAGTGCCTGTTATATTAGATTCATCCACTTGGTAACACGTTTGACTACCCCTTGGAAATAATTCGAAATGCTTCGGGTTTCTGTTTTTGCTGCTTTAACGGCTTTTCTTAGAAAAAGAAAAAACACAATTGTGACGATTTAGTGACTTTTTTACTATCAAATTGGCAATTGATTAATTAGAGAAGTATAAAAAATGTCTCAACTTCTGATATTTTGTCACCAACTTAATGGAAATAAATTCCACTAGTTCTATTAAAACACTGAAAATAATCAATAATCCAAGAAAAAATCGTGATGTTCAAATAAGTATTATCCTGTCATGGGTCTCTGAACAAAGCGAGTTTTATTCCACGTCAATGTCAATATAAATAGGACAAAAGATATTACACCCGACGGCTACGATTTGGTATTGGTCTTTTACTCGCTTAATATCTGTTCCAAATTACCATGGACATACAAACTCAGTTGCTAACGAACATAGTGTTACCTAGCAATTATTAAATGAGTTGCTAAGAAACATTTATTGTGTGTGTGTCGATTTGTGCTATTACCTAGCAACTGAAGGGAAAAATCAAAGATTGCTTGATGAAAAATGTGTGATTCGTTTAATTAACTTTCCAAATCGAATCGGATGATCCAGTAATTTGTGATTCGCCAACTGTCTAATCCCACCGCATATATGCAATGAGAGGGACGAGTGAGTGTGTGCGAAAAGGTTTAATGTGAAATGATGGGGACCCCCCAACAATTGCTAATCCTCAAGGGCTGATTCCCGTCGTTTCATTGAACTTCTGACTATTTGCTCTCAGCTTGGCATCGTTTACACCATTCGCTTTATCCCTCAACGATCTCACACACTGATTGAGCTTAACACAGGGCCCCAAATTCCACTCTTTTTTTCCACCACCGCATGAGATTAAAGCAATAAAATTTCATCCTCGTAGAGGCATAATGAAATCAAGAATTCAATTATTAAGTTAATGAATCGTGGGGATTTGAAAGGAGTTTGGTGGATTTATTCAGTTATGTTGGCAACATCGAAATACATTTAAATGTCACCAATAAGTCAGTATTGACAATAGATTTTTTTAATTGCAATTATTTATTTAAATCTTTATTTTGTCATAAAAAAAATACATTGGTTCCTGTACTTGATTGGATTACCTAAAAAAAAATTTTTTAATGGTAATTATAATTGCGGACACGGAATTTTCATTCGATTGACATAAAAATGTAAAACGGGCCTTAGGCAACTAACCTCACTTTCGGTTTTTATAATTATTATCCTCACAGCTGAAGAAAAAATGACAACAAATCAAAATAATTCATTGAACTTATCTAAAAACACTTACTGTTTCGGAAAATCGAGGCCAAAAATAAATTCCAACTAAAATTTTCAAATTTTCAAACGTCACTCATAATGACAATAAAGCGTGGCTTACATTGACATTTTTTTAAATGACATTTTGATGTCCAAAATTCAGTGTCTGTCTTTGTATTAATTTAAAAGTCACAAAAGGCACTTTAAACGGAAATTTGAACGTTGAGATTGTCAGAGGAGACGCCCTCTGTTCTTTAACAACCAACAAGTAAATAAATTCCCATAAAGAACCCTGTTTTATCGGTTTAGTTAAGAGGTAAATTCAAATAAAAACCACACATTTTTTAATTTTTACGCCGCCAAAATTACAAGTTATCAAACACTTGAAACCATTTCGTACAGGGTGGTCTGTTTTAATTCTATTTATTTTGTCACAAGAGGTGCCATCTGTCCCTTAAAAACCAAAAAATACATAGATTCCTGTACTTGATTGTATTACCTAAAAGTCAGTGTTGTTGGTGACAGATTTTTTTAATGGTAATTATAATTGCGAACACGGAATTTTCATTCGATTGACATAAAAGTGTAAAACGGGCCTTAGGAAACTAACCTCACTTTCGGTTTTTATAATTATTATCCTCACTGCTGGAGAAAAAATGGGAACAAATCAAAATACTTTATTGAACTTACCGAAAAACACTCACTGACATTAGTGTTTCGGAAAATCGAGGCCAAAAATACGTTTCAACGAAAACTTTCAAATTTTCAAACGTCACTCATAATGACAATAAAGCATGGCTTACATTTTGATGTTCAAAATTCAGTGTCTGTCTTAATTAATTTAAAAGTCAAAAATCACAGAAATTTGAACGTTGAAATGGTCACAGGAAACGCCATCTGTTCTGTAACAACCAACAAGTATTTACTTGTTTTCTATTCTATTTAGATTCCGACAAAGAGCCCTGTTTTATCGGTTTACTTAAGCGGTAAATTCAAATCGACCCCATCTTTTGATAAAAACCATACAACCAAAATTCCAAATTATCAAACACTTGAAACCATTTCGTCCTCGGTGGTCTGTTTTAATTTTTTCGAGTGTCATTAATGCAGCATCACACATGTGCCACTTATTCAAAGAATTTTTTTATGAAATTATTTAAATGTAATTAGTGTTCCCACACAGGAATTAACACTTCGATACTTTAAACAGATCGTGATTTATGTGACATAAACAGACTACTTGGAAGCTTTCAGATGCTTGAATATCAAGGCGATAAAAAACAATCTGGATGTGGTTTTTATTATTTAATTGTTTTTTCAGCGGTTTGTGGTCAGCTACTGCTGAAAAAATAAACATTTGATGCGCAAATAAAGACTCTTATTACCCAATAATCGATAATGACTCAGGTGAGAAAACAGATAAAATTCTTATTCATTCGAGTATTTTTGATGATTTCAATATTATTTTTGATGAAAATTAATGTTGCGCAGTCGCGCTTTGTATGAATGACAAAAGGGGGGATTACGCATCGGTTGGTGGGTCAGTTCTCGGAGTCGAGACAGGTGTTGTGATCTAAGGGATCAGTGAGTGTTGTTATCGTGTTTTAAATCATTCACAATGCCAATTAATCGTACTTTTAAACGTCAAGTGAGGGAGGATAAATTAATAATTTAATTGCTTAATAATTCGTTGCTAATAAAATAAAATTGACAATTTAAATAATTTGAGTGAAATGGCAAGTGAACGCGAAGCTATAATTGTCCCCGGAAAGAAAATACTCTTAGATGTGTTTCTAGTAGCCTTAGGTGAGTTGTTATTCAAAGGTTAAAACAAGTAGGTCATGAAGATTTATCTTAATTGTTTTTGTTTTTTTTTTTTCAATTGTTTCAGTTGGTTTCCCGATTTTGTTTATTTTTTTATGGCTTAGTCCATATCGTCGGGGCTTTTTCTGCAACGATGAAGACCTCATGCACCCCTATCACCCCTCGACTGTTCCAAGTATTTATCTCTACATCGTGGGAATTATCATGAATTGTACTGTGGTGAGTTATTAGGCCTACCCACAGGTGAAATTAGACCGATGACTCATGTCGCATGTAGGTAAAAAAATCGTGTCATAAAAGCTAATTTTAAATTTCTTCCGGTGTGTAATTTGAGAATATAAACTTCCAGGGTTATAAAATTTCGTTTCCTGTTTGAAAAACAACGCAAAACTGTGATAACTTTTAACCCTTTGAATCTTCATTGAGTTGTTATCGTTCAGTTTGTGAAATCTGAGTCACTTGGATGGGTTAATTAGACTAAATAAAATGGATTTCGTAGAATGTAAGAAAGACAGGAAGATAAGATAATGCAGGAAAGTAGAGAGAATTTTGAAATTCTTATTCAAATTTCCGGATGCTATAAATTTTCTTGTCTTTTGTAAATAAAAAGCTTGTTTATGTTTTACTTTTGTGTTGAGTCCTGATGATGTCAACTTGGGGCCGAAACACCACAAGAGCAATGGCTATTCCAAATTGTTGTGAAACTCAATAAATAAATATAATAAAAATAAATTAGAGTAGGCGACGGAATCTGGGCTGGAATTTTTTAACACAAATCACCGTTTTCGTCTTGTACAGCATTTTGCAACAATAAAAGTTTTCTGCTCTAAAGTGAACATTATTTCACTCAAAATGAATAAAACGCACACTTTGATGTCAAAAATCAGGATTGCCATCTGAAGGACTTTAATCACCGCCTACTCTAATTTATTTATTTTTTTTGATCACACGGTACAATAAAGAAGAGATATTAAATATACAAAATATTATTGCTAAATTTTTGAAAAACTAAAACTAATAAATCAATAAAAACACTGTTTTGTTTTTTTATTTTTCTAAACGATTGAAAAATGGCTTAATTTGGTCGAAAACAATATTATTTTAGCTTTTTTAGGTGTTTTAGCACATTTTTTTGACTTCGTAAAATTTTGTTAAAAACAAGCCAAAAATTTTCTAAATTACACCGGAAATAGTGTTAGTTTTGTCTTTTTTTGAGTGTTGAAGAAGATTTTTTTGCATTAATTAATTCTATTGAAATTGATTTTTTTGGACTTGTCTTGTTTTATTTAGTTGGTTTTTGAACTAGAAACTTAATTATTTTGCAAATTTAAACATTTAAAAACCACAAAAATAAATTGAAATTGATGTTATTTTTTTGTTCGAATAGTTTTTTTGGCAATATTTAGTTGAAAACTACAATATTTGGTCGAAAATGGTGTTTTTTTACTTTTTTCAAAACTTTAAGCACGTTTTTGAACTAAAATCACAATTATTTTTTGCGAAATTTCGATTGAAAACTACACTATTTTTTGCATTTCAACGATTTTGCACGTTTTTTAACCAAAAATTCAATTATTTTGCCAAATTTTTGAAAAATAAGTTAAAAAACCATTAATAAATTAGTATTTTTTTTTATCTCAAAAACGTGAGAAAATTTTTAGGTTGTTTTAAAAGAAATTTTACAAAGTAATTGCGTTTCTAAATGAAAAATGTGCTAAAACATACAAAAAAACTTAAAATAATGTCGCTTTCGACCAAATTAGGCGATTTTTCAACCGTTTTTAGAAACATTTAAAAACTTTTTTCTAATAAAATTGATAATATTTCAGCTTGTTTTGCTCGATTTAGTTTGTTCTTGAATCACAAGAAGATCTTATCAAAATACGCCCAAAAATTATTATTTATTTCATAGAAAAATATTCTAGATAAGGTAAAGATTGATAAAGAATAAATGGAACAATATATATACAAAATGTATTGTTTTGCTATCAATTTTTTTTTTAATTTCACTTTAAAATTTATAGTTTTTTATGTAATTACCATTTTTTACAGTCTAAGGCACTTTTCTATAAAATAAAAAAATCGGCATAACACTTAAAAAAATAATCTTAAAAACGGATTACATAAAAATCTCGATAAGAATTTTGACCTTGCATCACACGTGTGTGAAAAAACCGAGATATAATAATAAATCTGAATGAGTTGAGTCTTGATGATGTCAAATTAGTTGCCGAAACAATCTCAAAAAAAATAGATAACAAAAATATATAAATAAGACATAAAATTGTTATTTAATGGAAAAATATTAGTTTAAAAACTATTATTTATGCAAAAATTTTGATCAAGTGGTGAAAAAGTATTTCACCCGCCACTGGTTTCACTTTTTCATTGTTACTATGACGATTTTTATTTTTGTTGCTATAGTTACACATATATTTTAGTGCTTTGTTATAGCAACTAAACGAACCTAATCACATGTGCGACTCGTCGAGGATGGACAAAGGGTTTTCAAGTAGAATTTCAAAATAAGATAATCACGTTTATTTTCCTCAAAATTAGTCAATGTCATTGTCAGTTTTCGCAATAAATCAATTATCGTTTTTATCACACTTGTTTTCTCGAAATTGAGTGCTTAGTCCAACTTATTGATTTAAAAAATAAGTGCAACTGTGCCAAATGCTGACTCATAGTCTCCTTTTTATTCTTAGCTTTGTCTTTATTTTCAGATGATAATGATAGAATACTTGAATCAGCCTCAAACCAGTCACGAGGTGACTTTTTGGAGATTCCGTGTCCCTTATTGGTTCTACAACGTTTATTACGTCATTCTTGTTTTCGCATTTGGAATGGCTTGTTCGCAATTAAGCACCGATATTATGAAATATACTGTGGGTCGTCTTCGTCCCCATTTCCTCACAGTTTGCAAACCCAACATCGACTGCTCTTCGCCCCCAAATCAGCATATCTACCACGTGGATTTCAACTGCACCAATCGGGATTACATCCACAATGCAAGGATTATGAAAGAGATGAGATTATCATTCCCTTCGGGACATTCCTCCTTTTCCATGTATACAATGTTGTATTTTGCGATTTATCTTCAAAGAAGAATGGATTGGGACGGATCCAAACTTTTGAAACACACTTTGCAGTTTTTGGCCGTTGCGGCTGCGATTTTTGTCGCAATGACGCGAATTTCTGATAATAAACATCATTGGAGTGATGTTTTAAGTGGATTGATTATTGGGACCATCGTGGCTTGTGTTACGGTAATTATAACTCCTTTTTTTTGTATTAATGGGCATCGAAGTGGTCGTTGATAGGGGTCAAACTATTCTAACCTCAATCTTCCCTAAAAATTTTAAAATTAACAATTAATTAGCAAACATAAAGATTTTTGTCATCAATATTAATAATGACAGCCTTCAAGTTAAAGATGCATCAGTGTTGCCAGATCAAAAACATAAAATTCACCAGATCCGAGTTGAAAAATTCGCCAAATTTTCACCAGTATGGTTATATCTCGCGAAAAAACGCAGTTTTTAGCTTAAAAATCCGCTGAAACTCTTGAAAAAAACAAAAATGACATGCTTTTCGGGTTAATTCTGTGTTTTTTCAACAAAATTTTGCGATATAATTGCGTCTCTAGGCTAAAATGCTCGAGAAATGCAATTCTAGACTTAATTTCTTGATTTTTTAGTTTGTTTTACCGAAATCTTGTGAAAAACCTGAGATTTTGGTACAAAAACGCGCTTAAAAGCATTTTCGGCCAAATTTTGTGGTTTCTCAGCTTGTTTTTGTCTTAATTTTGTTCAAAAACCGTTAAATCGAGTGAAACAAAGAAAATAACATGAATTTCAATTTATTTTTGCATTTTTTTAGCCTGTTTTAACGCAATATTTCGAACTTTTTGTGTTTTTATCTCCCAAAAACATGCTTTGGGTTATTTTCTTAAATTTGTGGCTTTTTTTGAAAAAAGCATGGAAGTGGTCGTTGACAGAGGTGATAACCATGCAAAAATTCAAACTATCCTAACCCTAATTTTTCCTAAAAATTATTTTTTCAAATATAAAATTAATAACGTAATTAGCCAACATAAAATTTTTTGTCATTATTGATGTGACTAAATTTGTTCAGAATGACATTAATGACAATTTTTGTGTGAATTAGCCTTTAAATTAAAGATGCATCAATGTTACCAGATCAGAAACATAAAATTCACCAGATCCGAGTTGAAAAATTCACCAGTTTGGTTATATCTCGCGAAAAAAAAAAACAGTTTTTAGCTTAAAAATTTGCTTAAACTCTTGCAAAATGCAAAAATGACATGTATTTCGAGTTAATTTTGTGATTTTTCGGCTTATTTTCAACAACATTTTGCGAAATAATAGCATTTCTAGCTAAAATTCTCGAGAGATGCAAAAAATAATGTAATTCTAGACTTAATTTCTTGATTTTAAGTTTGTTGTTTTAGCGAAATCTACTGAAAAACCTGAGATTTTGGTACAAAAACACTTTTAAAAGCATTTTCAGCCAAATTTTGTGGTTTCACAGCTTATTTTTGTCTTAATTTTGCTCAAAAACCAGTTAAAAAGAGTGAAACAAACAAAATAACATCAATATCAATCCTTTTTGTGATTTTTAGGCGTGTTTGGACAAGATTTTGCAAAATAAATGTACTTTTGGTTTAATTTCTATTTAATTTTGTAATTTTTTAGCCTGTTTCAACGCAAGATTTCGAGCTTTTTGTGTTTTATCTCTCAAAAATATGCTTAAACACTCGAAAAAGGCCAAAAAACGCCATTTTTGGGCTATTTTGTTGAATTTGTGGTTTGTTTTTAACAAAATTTTGCAAAATAATTGTGTTTCTAGCGGAAAAAGCATTCGAAAAAGACATAAATAAATTGTTATTTTCCACTCTGTTTGGTAATATTTCGTAAAAAACAAATAGAATTATTTTTAACTAATTTGGTGTTTTTCGATTATTTTGTCTTTAAGAAAATACGACGAAATGATCAAGTTAAAGCCTAAGAGTTAGGTAAAAATATCATAATATAATCTTTTTTATAAGAATTTAAAGATTTTTGACATGCTATGACAAACTCTCACGAAAAAAAAGAGTTTTCAACTTAAAAATCTGCTTGATCTTTCGAAAAAGGAAAAAATTATATCATTTTCGGCATAATTCTGTGTTTTCTTAGCTTGTTTTTAACCAATTTTGCGAAATAATTGCGTTTTTAGCTGAAAAACGTGCTTAAAAACATTCTCGGCTTATTTTTGTCTTATTTTGCTCAAAAAACCAATTAAAACTGTAATTAAAAAAAAAAAATTTCACCAAACAACACGAAAATCACCAGATCTGGTGATGGCAACACTGAGATGCATTTACACTTCTACAACCTACTTGATGCACATTAATATGAAAAAGACTATATACTTTTTTGTTCTAATTACTAACTTTGACGCAAATTAAATTGATACAGGCTACGGTTTGGCTTAAACACGAAAAAATTGCTTTTAACACTTACGATGAATATGAATACATCCCAAGTAGTCCTAACACACATGTCTAAAGTAAAAAATTAATTTGGGGTAAGATTTGAGACTAATTCGTTATTTCAGGCCCGTGTTTTTTCAACACTATTCCAACAACATCCCATTCAAGATTTGGTACGAAAAGAATTTCTTGAATTACAAGGAGTTAATGGAAATAATGCCCAAATTGCGTAATTTTTCAAGCGACCTGACACTGTACTTAATCATATCACACATCACAATTATTTATTTGTTAGAAATTGATTGAGATTGTTTTATATTTATTTATTTATTAATTAGATATTAAGTTATGATAGCAATAAAATTGTTAGTTCAGTATTTGTAAAACATCCAGAAAATGTGATAAAAACCTAATTTTGTACCTCGCACTTGGTAAAAAACTTTGTATTCATGAATTGTGATAATTTTATTGGCCAGGCTCTAATAAGTTAAACCAAGCAATACACACAAGTTTTTCATTTAAATTTACCGGTATTTTATCACCAACCTTGCCACCCAAATTCCCTATTCAAAGCCACATTTTTGCTTTGTTAGTGTCTGTACTTGAGAAAAAACCGGCCAAATGGCATTTAAGTGATTCTTTGATCCAGCCTAGGCCCTAATTATAATAAAAAAATATTTTTTTAAATAAATCTCTACCAACCTTGTCACCCGAATTCACTAGCCAATTGACAGTTTCCGTATCCCTAACCTCACATTTTTCGTTTACAATGGCAGACAACGAAAATGGTAGTTCTAGCAGCCAACCCAACTCACTTCTCTTAAAACCAACAAATTTAGAATGTAAAAACTTGTACGATTATTTAAAAACACGCTCATCGTCAACATTAGAAAAACTCTACAATCATCCAACGATTTGTTTGGCCGTTTACAGGTAAAAAACACTGAAAACAACCCCAAATTTTGATTTAAAATTTCAGAGAATTGCCTGAATTAGCACGTCAATATGTGATTCGTATTTTGTTTGTTGAACAACCGGTGCCTCAAGCAGTTGTGGCGTCATGGGGGTCTCAAGCTTTCTCCAAGTAAGTTTGAATTGTTTGAAAATGAACCAAGTTTGATTTGTAGAGAACACATTTACGTGAGCAAAGTTTTGAGTGAGTTGTCGGTATGGCAAGAAGCTGCGATCCCAGGGGGGCTTCTGGGGTGGATTCTCTCAGTCACGTTTAAGAAGAATTTGAAAATAGCGTTATTAGGGGGGTAAAATATTCACAATGTTATGAAATCATATTATCATATGATTTGATTCAAGTGGGAAACCTTGGAGTATGTCTTCGGCTTTGGAAGTTGATAGTAAAGCACGAGATGTGTCTTTTTTGGACGCTTATTCTCTGGAAAGATGGGAATGTGTGTTGCATTATATGGTGGGGTCACAACAACAAGAAGGAATCTCTGCAGATGCTGTCCGAATTTTATTACATGCTGGTTTAATGAAACGGTTTGAATTTTATCAAATTTTAAGTCGGTTTTTTAGTTAATTTTTGTAGAGATGAGGAAGATGGCAGTCCTGTTATAACACGTCAAGGTTTTCAATTTTTACTTTTAGATAGACAAGCACAAGTTTGGCATTTTTTACTCCAATATCTTGATACTGTTGAACAAAGAGGATTAAGTCTAGTCGAATGTTTAACGTTTTTGTTTCAACTTTCATTTAGTACACTTGGAAAAGTATGTTGGTAACATTTAGTGACTTTTTAAATAGTGTTTTTTTGTAGGATTATAGCACTGAAGGTATGAGTTCTGGTCTTTTAATTTTTCTACAACATTTGAGAGAATTCGGGTTAGTGTATCAACGAAAAGTATGTCACTCATTAATTTAGTTAAATTTTTATTGATTTAAATTTACATAGCGCAAAGCTGGCCGTTTTTATCCCACTAGATTAGCGTTAAATATTACATGTAGTCAAGGTCCTGAAATGCGAATTTTGGAAGAAGACACACCGAAAGGTTACATTATTGTGGAAACAAATTACCGAGTTTATGCTTACACTGATTCCAATCTTCAAGTTGCTTTAATTGGTCTTTTCACCGAGTTGATGTATAGGTGGTGGTCACAAAATTATAAAACTATCTAGTTTCATTGATTTTTTTCAGGTTTCCAAACCTTGTAGTCGGTGTAATAACACGTGATTCTATAAGACAAGCCCTGAAGGGGGGAATCACAGCCGATCAAGTTATAGGATACCTCAAACAACATGCACATCCTCAAATGTTACAAGGGGAAGCAAAACATCCTCTACCGCCAACCGTTGTTGATCAAATTAAATTATGGGAAATTGAACGGAATAGATTAACGTATTCAGAAGGCGTTTTATATAGTCAATTTTTATCACAGGTATTTGAAAAATGTTTTTTTTCGGTTTTAATTCGTGTTTTTAGGCCGATTTTAATATACTCAAAGAGTATGCTCAATCTAATGGCCATTTAATTTGGTGTAACAAAGAAAAACGAACTTTAATCATTAATAAGTCGGCACATGATGATGTTAAAAAATTCTGGAAGAGATATTCGAAAGGGAATTGAGTTTGATTCTAATAAAACTTTTTTACTAATTGTGTGTTTCATTTAAAATTGCCGCGCAACTAATAATTGACAATCCTGTGATAGGTGTCAAAGATTGACAGTTAAAATTAATTTTTCTTGTCGAAATTGCGCGCTTTACTGCAATTTGGTAATCCTTGGCGTACATACGTTTTGAGGGTTTGGATTTTTATTATATTTTTTTGACAATTATTTGCTTCAATTTTGAAAATCTGTGACTAATCAAATAAAGTCATTTTTCTTGTTGTGGCAACAATGTCTGTCAAATGTCATTTCTATAAGTCAAACGTCATGTTGACAACTCTTGTCAAAAATTGTATAAAAATACGAAAAAATTCGTAAAATGCCCGCAGCTGTGGATAACAGCAAGCCCGATCGGTCCGAGCAGATGTGGAAAGTGCTCAAAGCGCACATTCTTCGCGAACGCGCCCGCAAAAAGCAAGAAAGAGAGGCCGAGGTGGAAGAAGAGCGTCTTCGTAAAGAGCGTGAAGCTCGTGAACAACAAGATGTTATGACTTTGGGTGAAACACGCGAGCAAATCTCACAACTTGAAAGCAAACTTCAGAAATTAAAAGAAGAGAAACACCAGTTGTTTTTACAATTGAAAAAAGTATTAAATGAGGATGATAACAGAAGGCGCCAGAAGGAGAACAAGTGGGTCAAATTTTGGGTATTGTCATTTACATAATGATTTTTTTTAGTGATGTGCTTGCGATTCAAGCTCTACCGACTGGTTTAGTGCATCAGCCGTTGTATATTTCACCCAGTGTGCCCCCTCGCAATGCTGTGCCCCCACAACAGACGTTTAAAACGGCGGTGAAACGCCCCAGGAGTCCCAGTCCGCAACCGCCCCCCGTGTCGTCCTACCATCAAGGTTATGGGTATAAACCATCAGTGGCAGCCTCATACCAAAACTCGCCCCAAAGTAATTGTTTATTAATTTTCTTACAATATTTTTAGCTAGGTTTTAATCGATTTTTTGCAGAAGATGATGGTAGACGTAATGAATTAGTGAGGGCAGTTTTATGGAACAGTGAGTGTTTCAACACCACTTTAGCGCTTCATTTATCATCACTCATTCATATGCTTTTTCTTTCAATTTATTAATTTCCAATGAAATTAATTTTTAATTAATTTCAGAAACACAATATCCGAGTCAACAAGCAACATTTTATTCGGTCTCTCCGCAGGATATATCAATGTATTATCCTTTGGGGTCAATTTCGTCGCGGGAGCCCCCAACTAGGAGTGCCTATGAACCCCCAAGACCTCAAACGTATCACTTGGAACAAAAACTACCCGAACATTACACTCTAAGAGTACCAAGTTCGCATGGACATGTCATTCATGGGGGCTCTATACCGCTCAGTCCTGCACAACCCAAAACTGGGAGTATCACAGCAGGGTATCCTGTGAGGAGTCAACAACAATACCAACAGTCCACTCCTGCATCATTATATACGGCACAAAGTCGTCCCTTGTATCAGTCTCCAGGGACTCCAATGAATTATCCTCAAAGAGAATAATGAAATAAAAAAATGACAAGTTTTATTTATTTTCGATTTGTTTTGTACTATCTAGTGTAACAATTTCTTTACTTCCGCTACGTAAAGTAAAAACTATTGGTACTTCCCCTAAAACAGGATTACCATCTTTTTCCAAATTTCGAATCCAGGAAACAAGTGAGTCTTTAGTTGAAGTCCCAGTGGCACACAAGCCCAAAATTGTACCATCTTCCTGCTCATGAACCGAAGGTACAACAGTGAGTTTTTTTATTGGTTTAATCCCAAAAAGGGGGATTTTAATATCACTAACATCATCCAAATCCTCGTTGATTGTAGTCACAAGTTTTGAGTTTTTTCTTAACGTGAAATAAGTGACTTGTTGGTTTTTCAACCAGACTCGAAACGGTCCTTCGACATACAAGGGTTCAGTCACGTCGTGTCTCTTTAATAGGTCTTTCTGAATGGGGGCTTGCGCACTGATTATCCAAGTGTCCTCCTCACGACTCTGATAAGTCGTAATCTGTGTTTGAATATCAACACTGCTAATCCGTTCAATGGCACACTTTGCCAACTCGTATACCCCCTCAGGGAGCGGGTTTGGGAGGGGCCACGGCGACGCATTCTTAAATTTCGGCATCCAATACATCATCCTCCAGTATTTCCGCAAGGGGAAGCCCCGATTCCCGAAGATATTCTTCAGGAGATCTTCCATGTCGTAATCGGGCATCACACCGTTGTCTTCCATTTGCTCGAGTAAATCGATGATGCATTGTTGCTGTTTGGGGTAATGCATGAATTCCACTTGGAACATGTTCCTCGGGATGAATTTGCCTTTGGGGAGGACGTCAATGAGCGCTTTGTACACTTCAATGTCTTTGTGGACACCAAACTGTTCCATGTTTTTCAAAGCCGAGTAAATGAATTCGACGTGGCCGCGACGGTACACATTGTCTCGATTGATGAAAATATGGATCATGTCCAAATAGGTGTTTTTATTCTTCGTTTCGATTTCCTCAAATGAGCGATAAGTGACCACTTGAGTGGGTTTTTCGCACAATGTTCGATACAGAGGAAGCCCCATTTTGGGCAACACTGAATTATTTCGCACGAGTCGATTGAAAAACATTTTATTAATCGGAAATTGGGATTCTTTCTGTTTTATAGGTTATGTAATTTTTTAGGTTAGGTTACAATTTTTTACCACTTAAATGAGCAAAATTGTTTAGTTTCAACAATTTAAATTGTGTCTCACCATATTTTAACAGAAAAATAAAGAAAAATTCACGTTTTTATTGGGTCAGCCTATATTTATGCAACCAATGATACATATGAAAAACCGTTACAAAAACAATCAAACAATGAATTATTCAAAAAGAGACTATTTATTATAAATACTGTTGCACAAAGTCACATATTTGTAAATAAGTGGTCATTCGATCAGTCATAGTTTACCAAAAAGCGCCGGATGAGAAGCCCCCTGGGGGTACACGTCCGCGTGAATTTGTGTTATTTTGCGGCGGTGGTGCAGAGGCGGCCTTTGGAGCATCGTCAGTAGCTTGTTTTACCGGTTCTTTGGGTTTTTCTTCCTCCTTTTGAATAGGTTTTTCTTCCTCTTTTTGAACAGGTTTTTCTTCAACTTTTTGAACAGGCTTCTCTTCCACCTTTTCAACAACTGGTTTTGGTTCATTTGTGCCTTCAATAATGGAAGAGGCGTTTCTACGATTGAATTTCTTCTCTTGGGGTTTCTCAGGTGGGACTGATAACCCCAAAACGTCGGTATGTCCACCACCTGGAGGCTTCAAAACTCGGCTTGAACTGCGACCTCCGTCCATTCCCCGAAAAACATTAGTGGAAGTCATTCTGGAAAGTTTTAATGAAAAACTGCTAAAATAGGAACAAAAACGTTATTTCTTACTTGGTTTTTAACTGGTTTATACTGGTTTCAAAAGCCACACACAAAGACTCTTTTAGGGTTAAAAATAAATGAAAGAAGATTTTCTTCCTCCACAAATCTTCAATTAACAATTGAATGAAACAAAGAACAACGACTAAGGTCACTAACGTTTTTGTCGAACATAAAATCAAATATCGAAGCTAACGGATAAAATAAAACAAGTGAACTGCGCGAAAGTAGTACGCATGCAAACAAATAAGGCGGGACTTGAATGTGATTGGTCAAAACGCGCGGTCTTTTAGATGTCAGCCAATCAGATGATTGCAAAAAAATGGGTGTGATGTTTAAACGGTTTGTCATCAAATTAATTAAAGAAATGAGAACAATTGCCGGTGAAAATAATAATAATAATAATTATAATTTTTCTCGTTACTATGGAACATTTTCAGTCAGAAATTTCAAAATTTGTCAAAATTTCAGAATGAATTCTATAATCGAATCCGTAGCAAAACTCTGGTCTCACACTCTTTTCGTTCACATTTACTCATCGCCAAATTTTTTAATGGAAACGCTCATATGTCTGGTCATGGTGATAATACATTGCTTACTTATTGCTGAAATCAATGGTATTATCCAAGAAATCAACGTTCCGGCGTTAAAAATAAGATTAAAAAAATCTCTGGGAGGTACTTAACACTTCTCCTGAAAAAAAAAACAATTAATTATTTTCAAATACCACGAAATTGTTGAAACTTTTCCCTTTTAGATATCAAAAGTCAACGTTCGGTGTATCATGGAGTGGTAAGAAATCATCCGGATCTTGGAGTCGATGTGGTTTTCAAAGAAAACACTTTTCTCAAAAGCGACTGGAACACAACTACAAAAATTAATAAACTTTTATCGACAAGTTTGAGCGAATACATTCGACGTGATTTACAAAATTTGAAAACTAATTTACCCAATGAGAGTGACGGAAAAACGGATGAAATCGGGGGTGATTACAGTACTCGATCCAGTACTGAAAAAATCTACGATTATCTTCTCACCGAACCAGAGAAGAAATTCAACTGTGACGAGCTGAAAAAATTCGAAAGAACCGAAATATTACGACTAGAATGACTGAAAAAAGGAGTTTCACTGTAATTTTGTTTCGGATTTGTAACGGAAATGGAAAAAAAGTATATTTGGGAATGACACTAAAAAAAAATTTATTTTTCGATTTGTTTACAATGTTTGGCTTTTGTGATTTGTGAAATTGAAAGAAATTTGTTATCTACCTACAGGAAACAACACAAAAATTCCTTTGGTAATGCAAAAAAACACGTTTTGGGTGTAAAAATGTTGTTTCAAGGATAAGGAAAGGGGGACCACAAAAAATTCTTCCTCAGGTAGATAATGAATTTCCTTTTGGAATAAAAATTGAAACGTTCGATTTATTTGCACAGATCACATATTGATGTAAATCATTATATAAAACCCAGTTATACATTTTATTAGCATTTAATACAGTACAATGTTGAACAAAATTACAGTGAAATCCAACCTAAAAAAAAGAAAATGCGTCACTACAAAATAACTCCAGCATACACAGATTTAATATTTTGTTTGAATTCAGGTACTGTGTATGATGTGCCTAAAAAATGTTCTTTCTCTATCCAATACACACTAAAGCGTCTTGTACAAATGTTACATTCAGTACCCCCCTTGAAACCCCCTCGAGTTACCTCGTCTACCGCCTCTAAATCCTCGCGCTCTAAAATTCGCTCCTCTAAATCCTCTCCCTCGCCCTCTCATCATACCCCCACGGCCTCTGTGCCCCTTTCGAAAGCCGCCGAAATTCGGTTTAGGTGGCCCCCAATGCTGTAACGGCGCTTGTTGCACATTGAACCCCATTTCGGGGTCGTGTAAATTCGCCGTGAATTCATTCGAATTCAAATCATTGTCGAGATCATCGAGAAAACTATTCGCATCGACGTCGTCAGGCAAGTCAGGAAGTGGGGGCGGCGGCTTCAACAGCGCATACATTTTCTCCTCACTTTCGTCCTCACTCAAATCCATATCGATGCTCTCAGTGTTATCCTGCAATTTCCTAGGGGAGGGAAGTTTCTTCGGGGGCGGCGGCGGGGGCGGCGGAAGCTTCAATTGCTCGATATTAAACGGCGGCAATCTATAATCCTGGTCTTCGACACGATAATCCTACAAAATCCAAAAGTCAAAAGTCAAATTTGACGTTAAAGATAAAAATGTCAAAAATTAACCTCATTTCTGTCATAAAAAGTCAAATTTGACGTTAAAGCAAGTGAAATGTCAAAAATTTGATGTCCCATTTTTTGTACCTGATCGTGTCCTGATGAAGTCCACGTGTTGGACGAAACGTCAGCAGGTGAACCAGTCAGACTTATTAAATTGCGATGATCGACGTCCTTACGTCCTCTAATACCGTCCCCTGAAAAACAATATTGTGACAGTTACATACATAATTTTTTCTATTACCTAATGGATGGAGTAATCGGTGATCGACATCAGCAGCCCCACTCGAGACTACATTATCGTGATACTCCACACCTTCGATGTAGCCCTCTTTTTCGAAATTTGGGGGGCTTTCAGGTGTGTCTGTATCTAATGTTGGTTGAGTCCAAGTCGGGTCAGTGTCCCACGTTTCCAGTTCCTGTTCTGGATTATATTCATCATAATCAGAAATTGGGGCATTTTCATACACCGGTTGAGTGAAAGTAGTATTGGAAAATTGATAAGAATTCTCACTAAATGGGGGCATAGGAGGTGGAAGTAGAGGCAAGTGAGATGTTTCTTGATACTGAAAAGTGGCACCTGTCTCTGAGGGTTCAACAGGAGGTGGTGGAGGCCTAGCAATTGATTGTAAAACAGTCGTCAAATCATAATTACTATTTGTCACTTCTGTCAAACTTGTATTTAATGTTGTTGTTGGGGTATTGGTAAAAAGAGCAGAAGTATTTAAATTCTGAAAAAAAAAAGATTAATTGTTTATAATTGCAAGTTTTTACATACTTGGACATTAAAAGTTGACCCTATGAAACTCGTATATCCATTTGTGACAAAATTCGAGGGCTCTGTTGATGGGGGCGGAACCGGGTTGTAATAACCGGCCGAAAATGGGACTGCAGTGTTATAATCAAGAGTTGAATCTAAACAAAACATTTAGAAAGTAAAACAAAAACAAATTTGATTATTACTGTTAGTTTTCGTTTCATTATCATCAGGCAACTCGATATCACAATCAGGACTAGGTGAAGGTGCATTTATATCAGGGGAAGGAACTGGACTACTTAATGTCAACATATGTTCCTCTAATTTTTTCTGGAATGCTTTAACCTTATTCCCAAACACTTTATATGCCTGTAAAAATTGTGTTAAATTTTTGTGTAAATGACACAACAAATAGTCTTACATTTGCTACAACTTTCACATCTTTCTTGTCTTTATCCAATTGATTGTTGGCTTGTTTCAGTACTGAAATATTCGTAATTCGACATTTAATTTCCGCTTTTAGGGCGTTTATGTAACCTTCTAGATGTTTCACGTAAACTTCTAATTCTTTTTCAACATCGTCAACATGTGCCCGATCTAAAAACCAAATTTAGACACAAGTAAAACGCAAGGGAGCATCACCTTTAAGAGATGTACAAAGTGATTCAGTCTCGATTTGTATTTTAGGGTTGTGTTCTTTCAAAACTTTTAGTTTTAAATCAGTTTCATTTTCAAGCTTGGAACATTGTTTGATCTTGTTTATAACATAAGACGACTGAAAGTAAGAAATTAAAAGATTTTAAAGTAAGCAATTGTTTGAAAATAACCTGAAATTCGTGTGGTTCGTCGTTTTTGGAAGCTGTGGGGACGACACTGATTAAACCACACAAATCCGAGATAAATTCCTCATTGTAAACGCCTCTCTGTTGCCAAATGTTGAAAATTCGCACGATTTTGTGCTTGACTTTGTCGTCTCTGCAACACAAAATTCACAAAGTGTTTCAATCACACTAAATAAATACCTGACTAAAGTTGTGGCTTTTTGTAAGGCTGTGCCCCAACTGTCCACAAACTCGTACTGTTTCCTTTTCGAATATTGTATAACATCGTTTGCTAAATAAAACAGATTGAGTCTTTGTTCAACTTTGACACGTTTGAGGACATTAAGCCACGAATTGACGATTTTCTTGTGATATTGTCGATTTTCCAAACACCATTTACAACAAGCATTGATGTTCTCTTGGGAGTCTTTCAAAGCGGTCAAACGTTTTTCAAATTGAATCACGTTAAAGTCCTCGCTTTGCACACTCATTTTTATGGGGCTTTCTTCCAACTGATGAGCATTTTTTTTTCATACACAAACTTTTTGTTTACACTTGAGGTGAGTGGAGACTTGACTTGGGGCTTTTATGTGATTTTTTTAATCAAAAAATCGTGTTTTGGCCGTTTTTGAATAAAAATTCTTGTTTTCAAGCATCTATTTTACAACCATAACCATACATGTCACAGAAACAAATGGCTGAAGTTTTCAGTATACCGGACTTAAGGACGGCATTAAAAACTAAATGTACATGGCTAGAAAGAAACAAAGCTAGGGTTTTACACATGCACATGTGAAGCTATCTCTTTTCAGCAGTGTACTTTGACAAGTGCGGAAACTGGACGTTGCAACTTTAATGACATGTTGGTTGCAAACAATTTAACAATTTAGATAAAATTTTGATTTCTCAAATTTTCAAAGACGAACGCTTTTAATGAAATTTTACTTCAATAACACTCCACGTATTTGAGTGAGAGTTGGCTCAAATGAAATTTTAGTATTTCAACGCCCTCTTGGTTAAGGTTTTTTTTAAACGTAAAATAGGTACTTTTAGGCCCTTTTGGGCTATGAAAATTTCACAATCGATAGTTTTTTGATTAAATTTTCGTTTTCTATCCTTGCTGAGTGTCCGCATTTTAATGTTTTCCACTTTTAGTGTCTCAAAAATTTTCAACAACAAAAACAATTGTTATTGAGTGACAAGGATGGTTAATAGTTATTTACATTCGTGTGCGGTAACTTACATTTTACAGTGCGAAATGAATTTGAAGCACGACGCGCAGCGGAGTGCTTTAATAATTGAGCACTGTAAAATGGTTAACGCACAAGATTTGTATTAAGCTTTTTGGCCGACGTTTAAACAAAAATCTACAAAATTCAGAATTAATACAAGTAAATACGTTTGACATTAAATATCACGGTGGCTATGCACTCTAATGTCAAACAATTAAAAAAGACGCAAAAACGTCTCAGAC